CCTACCCTCGGCCGCTGCTTTGGCACCACGTTGCAAGCCAGGAGAGCTACCTCTGAGTGACCAATAGCCCCGCTGTAGGGACGTCGTTAATTCCTAGAGCTTCCGCTGCGCTCTAGCGACTTCTTATTTCCAACAAAAATAAGACATGAGCACAAGCATACATAAAAATAAGACATGAGCACAGGCACACATAAAAATAAGACACGAGCACAGGCACACATAAAAATAAGACATGAGCACAGGCACACATAAAAATAAGACATGAGCACAGGCACACATGATAAACGTGTGCACAACTAAGGGAGAATGTGTTCACAATGGTATATATTCTTAAATACTACTGATGGGGTACATAAAGGGCCAAACGCTGTTGCCAAAACTACCAAGATACGAAGTTCGGGCAACAACGCAAGACGCTGGTTTTGCTTAGGTAGTACTAGAAAAAATCACACCCAGCAAATCATTCCTCTCAGTCCGCCATGGCCACCGATTAAGAGGGTCGCAGGGTGAGATGCGAGAGCAGAATAGCGCCTGCTTCGTATCCGCGCTAGAAGCCATCGCAGCACAGCGCTTTCTCGTTCCTCAAGCAAAAAACGCGGCGACCTTGATGCGCGCCGCGACGGCGAGCAGCTCTGGGAAGCTCAGCGGAACAAGCGGCGGCTTGAAGCCCTTGGGATACCGGTGATCACGGAGAAACGACTTGAGGTAGTTAATCGGAACCGCGTAAAAGCGCAGCCTTCCGCCGAACACCCCCGCCAGCGCCGCCGCTTCGGAAAATGCCACGGCTTCTTGTTTCGTGTTGTAACTGAGCTGGGGATTGTTCTTATGGGAGCCGTAAAAGCGGTGCTTGCGGAAGCGACCGATCTCGCGAAGAGTGATATATTTTTTTGTCGATGAAAAATCAAGCATTTGGTTGAAGAGCGTCTTGTTAACGAGGTAGTTGTTACCGAGGTAATAATCGTCGCTTACGAGCGACACGTCGTGCTCGAGCTTGTTGTGCGCGCGAAGCTGGACGAGGTCGATTGTCCCCGCCTTGCGATCCCCCACGCCGGCGGAGAAAGCGCCGTTAATTAGCGCCTTTGTCACGGTCGGGGAGAAAGAGTAGAATTTGCGGAAGGCTTGGACGATGCGCTTGCGCGGAATGGCGGAGCCGTCGCGCGGAAAGACGCCGTGGTTCGCCATCGTGTTGAACCCTGGGCACGGGCCGCGGTTGTCCGTGGCGCCCGGCGCGATGTACGGGCCGAGCTTCAGCGCGGCGGTTGACGGGGCGAGCAGCGCGAATGCCGCTACGAACGTCGCGAGGGCGAGAGAGCGGGTGAGAAGGAAAAGTTTTTGCCTGGAAGGACGGCTCTTGTGAGAGAAAGGGAGAATTTTGGGAGTCATGGCGCTGCAGAACACGCTCGATTATTGAACGCGTTGTTATTCTGCTAGCTTGTTCTCGGTTACCTGGTGATAGTACGCTGGTGCCTTGCTTGCAGGCTGGTCATCCGCTGGCGCAAGTTAGAAATGTAGTGAGCTGGCGTGCAAGAAGAGGAAAAGGAGTAAGAGCAGATTCGAACTCCTAGTCCTGAGGTGTAAATCCTAGGAAGGACGAAGGCGCAATTTCGAGAAGCAGCAAAGCAAAACGGGTGGATGGGCGGGAGAAACGAGGTTGAAGCGGCGTACAGATGGTGCTGAGAAAGGTTGCGCACTGTGCTGAGCTGTGAGTTGCGGCGAAGAGTGGCTGGCGGGGGAACACGGAAAGGCAGCTGGAGGGGGGTAACGCGGGATGTGAGAGGGGGGGAAGAGGCACGGGGGAAAGGGTCTCCGCTGTAGTTCCCCCTGCCCTGGGGCACGGCACACCATCTCATCACATCACCTCTTTCTGCCGCCCCTGGCGTCCGACCCGAACCGAACCGTGTAAATTTCCCCTAGTTCCCCGCTTTCGTTTTCGTTTCGTCGCATGGAGCTGCCGACACGACGACCATATCACACTCCGACCACGCGCAGGAAACTCGTCGACTCGAATTGCGTTGCGAGACGTGTCAGGCTGACGGCTCGGCTTTGTACACGTGGTTGGATCTTCAGTGCGCGTCGTTCGCTCCGAGCCTGGATTTGCTGCTGAGCTCAGGCCCAGCATGGTCAGAAGTTCCAAACCAGTTTCATAACGGGCTCGGCCTGAGAAGCTTCAGTGAACGTTTGACTGCCTCGAAGCTTCGTTTAACACGACGACAGACCGTGGGCGGCGTTCACCGAAAGGCTAGGAGAAGCGTACACTGTTGCATTCTGTCGGTGTACACTCTACATGATGCGGCATTGACTGATTCGGTAGTGCGGTTCCATCCACAAGAGGTTGTCAAAACCTTACACAAGAATTGGCGCGAACAAATTAATCCGCCTTTACACAATTACACACAACCGTGGCGTGCCATACCCAGCCAACTCATCAAAACTACATAGGGGCTTATCTGGCACACGTAGGGACACGTCATCCATGACAAGATTCCTTCATAACACACCGAGGGTTTGCCTCCCTCCTGCAGGAGTGTCTGGTCCGTTCAATTATCACAAGCTTGGGAACGCGGCGCCGATGAATGTGGAGCTCACCCCGCACATCTAGAGCCCACACAGAAGTCTAGGAGTGAAAGACAGCCGTCGATTTGAACGATCGGAAATCACTTGCTGCTGTCCAGGCTTCTCACAAGTGGCTCCCTTGGCGATGCGATCAACTGGTGCGGGTTTGCTACGAAACCTTTCGGAATGCGGGTCAGAGGAAAACTCATTAATGGATGAATAAAAGCCGTCGAATTTTGTGGCATCGTATCGAACGGCTGAAATATAACACAGCGTCAACTTTTTCATCCGCACTGCCCGCTCACTCCTTTTCCAAAGTGCACACAGTCTGAAAAGCGTTTTATGGTCAAGTGTCAGTGGAGTGGTTGAGAGAATTTCTCCAGACCCCGAAACGGTGATTTGCCGTTGCACACGTGGCCTCCAATTGCTACCGTGGTCAGACAAATCGATGATAATTGCTCGAGTGGTCTTGCCAGAGGTTTCCTCTGGCATTTTTTTTATCCGGCACATTACCCAAAGCCGGTTTTTAGCCCTGAAATTCTTACGTCGAACGTGTCTCTTCCTGCGAAAGTGTGGCGTACCCGGAAAGACGTGCACGAGGGCGACAACGTCACTATTCGGATACGCGACAAAAATCAGCACACTCATCTAGGCAAACAGTTGCGCTCAATTTCGGTCCATATTGTAACCAATCCGCGCATAGTTATATGATTCTACGATCATATATTCAGTTGGACGGATGTCAGTACGCGCGACCAATTACAGAGTGCACCTGATTGGTCGACTTTATGCGCGAGGCCTTTTCTGACCTTGCACGTCCAGTCAGACGCGATCATGCAAGATCGCGCTCATATAAAACCGCATATTTACCTATATGAGCGCGCATATGTGATGCTCGAATGTGTGTATGATCTATTTTACTAATCTAAAACTAAATTAATAAATTTGAGAGACATTATCACTGCCGACATTTTGCCATTATACCTATATCACGTTGTGCGATATAGGTATCCACAGTTTGATATAGGTATAATGGCAAAACGCTGGTAGTGATAACGTCTCTAAAATTTATTAATATAGTTTTATATTAATAAAACAGATCACACACACATTCGAGCATCACATATGCGCGCTCATATAGGTAAATATGCGGTTTTATATGAGCGCAATTTTACATGACCGCGTCTGATTGGACGCGCAAGGTCAGAAAAGGCCCCACGCATAAAGTTGACCAATCAAACTCTGTAACTGGTCGCGCATACTGACATCTGTGCAACTGAGTATATGATCGGGGAATCATATAACTATGCGCGGATTGGTTACGATATGGACCGAAATTGAGCGCAACTGTTTGCCTGGATTACCGTGCCGATTTTGTCGCGTATCCGAACAGTGACGGCGCCGCCCTCGTGCACGTCTTTCCGGGTGCGTCACACTTTCGCAGGAAGAGACACGTTCGACGTAAGAATTTCAGGGCTAAAAACCACCTTTGGGTAATGTGCCGGATAAAAAAATGCCAGAGGAAACCTCTGGCAAGACCACTCGAGCAATTATCATCGAATTGTCCGACCACGGTAGCGATTGGAGGCCACGTGTGCAACGGCAAATCACCGTTTCGGGGTCTGGAGAAATTCTCTCGGAGTGGTTGGTAGAGGCTGGGCCAGCGGACACGGAGGCAGGGCCTCAGGTGACGTTGGCAATGGCCCACAGCTGAGTCATCGCATCACCAGCATCTCCCATCTGATCCACCCGTTTGAACGTCAAAACGGAACCAGAGAAACCCCGCCTGCACGAGTTGGGGAGCCCGAGGGAGTTGTCCTGGAGAGCTGATCCAAACCAGCTCCAAGAGTCCGTTACATTCGCTCTGGTCACTCTTGTTTCGTCAAACCACGTTATTGTTGCCTGATCGCGCTTCCTCATATTGAATTGGTTTTCTTAGGAGAAAGTTACTTCGTGTCGATCGTGATAGATTACACAGTTCGCAATTGAGGGTGATTACCTTTTCTTCATGTTGATCGTATCTCGTTTCTGATAACCTAGGCCATTCTTGCTGTCGAGGCTCCTGTTACATAAAGTGTTTTGTAGAACAGGCTTCTAGTTTCGTGAATCTATTTGCTAGAATGGAGAGAGTTTTCTCAGTCGACGATATATTAGGAACATTCTGGAAGGTAGAGTCGTCAGGCGATGTCGCCGCCGCTGCCGCCGCTGCCGCCGCCGCCGCTGCCGCCTCTGGCGGGCTTCTCCCTCCAGGAGCGTCCGCCTTCCCCGGCGGATATTCCGGCGGAATGTCCGGCGGTTTGGGTAGCAGCGAGCTACAGCGTCCTATCCCACGCACAGGCTCTTTCCATCGTATGAACAGGATATCCTCGGAATGGGCGTTTCAGGAGTTTATAAAGGAGCAGACTGCAGCGGGGACAGTGACAGGTTTCAGTGGAGTCAGCCCTCTAATGGCGGGTCTTAGCCACGTTCCGAGCCTAGATAAGCTCTTAGGGGAGAGCCCGTCTCGGCTTAACCTAAGTATGTTCGGCCGGCCGGGGGCAGAAGCTGACGCAGGGATCTCCGCTTCCGCCGCCGCCGCTGCCGCCGCCGCAGGAGGCGCTGCTGCCGACGGGCTCGGCGCAATGGGGGGCAGCAGGCATAGTCGTTTAGACCTGGCGGGGGGGGATCCGCGGCTGGGGTTATCCGCGCCGAGGCGGGCAGCGGGGGAAGAAGCGGAGGCGGGGCGAGGCGGGGCAAATGCCGTGGCGGGGGATGGCGGAAGTTTCGGCGGGCTCGGAGTGTTCCGCTCCCCGTCTAGCAAGGGATTGGCGTCAGGCGCGCTAGGCGCGGCAGCGGATGCGGCAGCGGCAACGGCAGCAGCAGCGACAACGGCAGCGGCAGCCGCAGCAGAGCAGGTATGAAAGACCTGGAACAGTGCCCGTCCGTATCTTCGGGGTTTATATGTCGCAGATCCGGTTACCGACACCCTCTTTACCCCGTTTCGTTCCTGCCACTGATCGTCTCCGTTAAACCTGTGGCCCCTCGCTCCGACCTTTTTCCAGCACCCTCCCCCCGCCTGCTGCTCCTCAGGCCCCAACCGCCGACCCCCCTCCCCCCTCCTCGCTCCGACCATTTTTTCCCCTACGCCCCCTTCATTTCTCCTTCCGCCCCCGTTCCGCTCCTGTTCCCTCAATTCGCATTGAGACCAAAACCATTCCTCCCCCCGCCCTCCCCGTTACTCCTCCCCTTCCATCGTACCCGCTCCCCCCTTTGCCTTCCGCCCCCCGCCTGCTGCTCCTCAGGCCCCAACCGCAGACGCAGCAGCTGCCATGACCGGCGCCTCCGCCGCAAGTGCCGCAGCCGCAGCCGTAGCCAATGGCGTGGCGACAAATGGCACTCCAGCATCGGCGAACGGCGCGCCTCTCTCTCCGCCTCCCCCGCCGTCCGTGTTCCACCCGACCCCGGAGGAAATGGGCCGCCTGTGCGCCCCGCCTGGCGCGGCGGAAGCCGCCAGCCCGATCTCCGGCAGGCAGCCGGGCGGGGGAGCTGGCGGAAAGGGTGCGGGGAAGAGGGGTTTGGGAGGAGCGTCGAGCGGGCGGGGGGGAGGCGGAGGGGGAACGAGGGCGGGCGCGCATGGGGGAGGCGGGAGGGAGAATGGGATTGGGTCGGATGAAAATCATTCTGATGATGGGGGGAGGTCGGAAGGGGAGGATGAGCTGGTAGCGTCGTTGGAGCATCTGACTGATCCAGAAGAGATTAAGCGAGTCAAGAGGTAAGAACTGACTTTTGAGTCGTCTCAATGGTTGGAGGGGGAGGATGAGCTGGTGGCATCTCTGGAGCATCTCACTGATCCTGAAGAGGTCAAACGAGTCAAGAGGTAAGAAGATGTGACTTTTGAGTCGTCTCACAGGTCGACATGAGCTGGTGGCATCTCTGGAGCGTCTCACTTATCCCGAAGAGATCAAACGAGTCAAGAAGTGAGAATATTGTTGAGTTGAGCTCATCTGAAATCAAAATTAGCATATATACATACCAAAGGCTGGAAGACCATCATTATATCAGTGTACCACCCCCCATCGATTCATGTAGGATGTCAATTTGCTTATCTCGCCTGTATTGCATGCCACGTCATTGTGTCCCTTCCGGCCCCGCCTCTGTCCACGTGGCAGGATGCTGTCCAATCGCGAGTCGGCGCGGCGGTCGCGGCGGCGAAAGCAGGCGCACATGGGGGAGATGGAGACGCAGGTGACTCAGCTGCAGATCGAGAACGCCAACCTGGCCAGCCGCCTCGGGGAGATCGGGCGCAAATACAGCGACGCCGCCGTCGACAACCGCGTGTTAAAATCTGACGTGGAGGCGCTGCGAGCTAAGGTGAAAATGGCTGAGGAGATGTTAGGAAGGGTGAATCACATGGCACAGTATATGTATCATCATCACCACCAGCCCATGGCTTATCGGCATGATCCTGCTGCTGCCGCTGCTGCGGCTGCGGCGGCTGCTGCGGCGGCGGCTGGTTCGATGCCGTACGGCCCGTCTGCTGCTGAGATTGCTTACTATCAGCACCACGCGCATAACTCCTCGGCTGCAGCGGCGGCAGCAGCTGCAGCGGCGGCCGCTGCGGCAGCAAGCGCTGGGGCCACTGCTGCCGCTGCTGCTGCGGCTGGGGAAGCGGCTGGTTCTGCTCCTGCCACCAGTGCTGGGACTGCTCCAGCTGCCGCGGCCGCTGCTGCTGCTGCTGCTGCTGCAGGAGGAGCTGCAGGAACAGCGCAATCTCATGCGTCTTTGCAGTCTCTCCAGTCATATGCCTCTCACCACCATGCAGCTGCGCTTTCAGCAGCAGCAGCACACCATGGGGCATATTCACTCGAGGCTCTGCGCGCTGGGGGTGTGCACCTCCCTGGTTCGGGTATTTCCCCTCATAATTATGCTGCTGCAGCAGCGGCCGCGGCGGCAGCTGCAGCGGCGGGAGGAGGGCTGCACCCGAGCCTGGCTGCCATGCCTGGAATGCGTGGGGCAGCAGGGATGGCCGGACTTGGGGCCGGTTCGGGGATGGCAGATCCAGCAGCCGCTGCTACAGCTGCTGCTGCGGTTGGGGGAGAGGGGGGAGCGGCAGGAGGGATGAGAGAGGAGGCTGGGGGAGGGCATTATAGAACGGAGAGGAGTGCAAGCATGGAGAGGGCAGCAAGCGAAGAACATGCACAGAAGAGGTTTAAAGCTGCAGAATAGCCCTTTTCTTTTACTGAATTCGGTAGTGTCGTTTCAGTGTGAGCTTGATTGCATACCATAGCTATCCAGCAGCCACAAAAGCGTGGCTGTTAAAACCAGGGTCTCAAGTAAGAGATTATGCCATCAACTGCAAAACATTTGAGACTGAGTTACCTTGTTTTTCTAGATGAGGCGGACTGGTTGGCTAGGGAAGTTGGCGTGCGACACTCCCCCACTTTTGCCTCAGCACCAATTGCAAAACAAATTTCAGGTACATGGGACTTTCGACAACTCTTGACATTTCACTGGCACTCTAGCTTCGGCTCCGAACCTGTTTCCATACCTAGAAGGTTTGGAACACAGCAAACGATTTTGTTCCCTTCGCATCGCATCCCTCGTTGCACCCCTTTTCGTTTTTCCAACCTCGTCAACCAATGGGAAACAGGGGTTTCCCATCAACTGCAAAACAAATGATATACTGTATTCTCCCGGACATAACACCCTAGGGTATAGCTAAAAATACAGGGAAAAAATGGGGGGGGTCTCCTCATAGGAAAAAAATACATAATACCCGGGTCTTTACATATGGCATATTTTAGTGTTAGTGTTTTTTTAATTAGTCAATGTGGGTGTTTTTGTCAGAATGAGGAATGAATGGTTCCGTTGATGTTGGTTGGGGTACATATAACAAACCCTAACTTCTGTACCCCCTAAGACAAACCTCACTACAGGCTACAACATTTGACACACCCCCATAGCCTAAGTGAGGGGTGTCTAGCAAAATCAAAAAGAGTACGGTCACAAGACCAGTCCAAAAGAAAACAAAGCTCAGGGTGGATCACAACGTCACCACACCCTCTGAGCACAAGCAACAGTGGCCACAAGGCCCGTCCAAGAGATCACAAGTATATATAGCAAGTGTACAGACGAAGCAGGCAATAAACTCAAGTCTACACATGACTAGAAACTGAGTCAACAAGGCCTAACTGCACACAGCACCTCTGGTGGTCACAAGGCGGAAGCGCCTTGGTGAAGATGTCTGCAGTGTTGGCCTCGGACTCCACGAACTCGAAGCGAGCCTGTCCACGTCTCTGCAACTCTCGCAGAAGAAAGTACCTGACGTGAATGTGCTTTACTCTGCTCTCCAGTCGCGGCTCACGACAGAGGAGGATCGACGCCTTGTTGTCAGTAAACAAGGTCGGTGCAGAGCTCGGCCGCTCACCAAGGTCGGCGAGCAAGAAGGTCAACCACCGCAACTCCTGTGCCGCCATGGCACCAGCGTAAATCTCAGCCTCAGCTGTAGAGGTCGAGACAGAAGAGGAGCGCGTGGAACGCCAGGAAACAGCTCCAGAACCCAGACTAGACAGTACCCCTGAGTAGACCTGTGAGTCTCAGCGTCGTCAGCGTAAGAGGAGTCACAATGACCAGTGAGTACGACAGACTGCTGCCCTCCAAGAACTAGCCCCACGCCTGATGTAGTCGCTAGGTACTTCGCCACCCTCACAGCTGCCGTCCAGTGAACACGACGGTGTCTCCCTGGCGCAACAAAGCGCGCAAGGATGCTGAGAGGGAAGGCGAGGTCCGGGCGAGTACAAGTCATCAGGTACATGAGGCAACCCACAAGCTCTGCGTAGGGACCACTAGGCTCAAACGGCTCGTCAGGAAAGGGACCAGTGAGTCTGTGGTCAACAGCTAGAGGTGTGCGCTGTACGGTGGAGTGCTGAAGCCCGAACCGCTGAAGGACCTGCTGCACCATGTGTGACTGTGAGAGTGTAATGGTGCGAGCGGCTCTGTCCCTGGTGATCTGCAGGCCAAGGTAGTGGCACAGCTCACCAAGATCAGTGCACGTGTGTCTCTTCTGCAGTTCGGACTTCACGTCTGCCAAAGCAACCCTGTCCGGAGTGGCGAAAACGAGGTCGTCGACGTAGACCAGGACAAAGAACGGTGTGGAGCCACGACGAACGAACAGCGACGGGTCGGCAGAAGACGGCTATAACCCAAGGTCAGAGAGGGTAGAACGCAGAGTGTCGTGCCACTCACGAGGGGCCTGGCGAAGACCGTAAACAGGTCGCCTCAGCCTCCACTGGGTCCCAGGAGGGAAAGTGCCAGTGAAGGCCGAGGGACGACGTAACCAGACCTCCTCGTGTAGGCTGCCCTGAAGGAAAGCAGTGGAGAAGTCGAGAGAGTGTAACTCGTAGTCTCTCTGTGCTGCTACGTGTAGTAACACCCGAAGAGTGGTCATCTTCGGGGTAGGTGCGAAGGTCTGAAAGAAGTCAACTCCCTCGCGCTGACTGAAACCTCTAGCCACGTAGCGCGCCTTGAAGACCGGGGGAGATCCCGGTGGCCGCTTCACCCTGTAGATCCACATGCCGTCGACTACGTTCGCCCCAGGGGGGGGAACCTCATCGACGTAGGTGCCTGTGGATCTGTAGGAGGCCATCTCTGCGTCCATGGCAGCTCTCCACTGAGAGGCCCAAGGCCCTGACACTGCCTCAGTGTAAGTGCGAGGAGTCGGAATGTCAAGGGCGTCGGGGTCACCCTCAGGGGCGAGGAGCATGGCACAGAGATGAGGGGAAGCGGCCGCCAGGAACTCTGGCTCAAACTGCCTGTCCTCTAGGGCGTCAAAGCCAAGGGCAGACACACCCCCGACGGCCAGAGGACTGGTAGGAGGAGCAGCCACAAGCGTGGTGGCGTAGTCAAGGCGACGCGTAGAGGGAGCTAGCACCAGCGGCACGCTGCGAGGAGGACTGTGGGGAGGGAGGCTGTACCGGAGGGGCTACCGAAGGAGGAGGGGTAGCGTGGGACACACCTGACGGGGCTGGGCCAGGGGGGGGAGGCTGTACCGGGGGAGCAGGAGGGGGAGCGGCAGTCAGGAAGAGGGGGGGAGGAGGAACCGGGAGACCTCGACTGGGGTACCTGACGTAGTACGGAGTGGACTCCTCGAAACGGACGTCACGGGAGTCAAAGAACCGGTGAGAGGGAGGGTGGTAAAAGGTGAAGTCAGAGGAGTCCTCAGGGAAACCAAGGAAGACACAGGGGACGGCACGAGGCGAGAGCTTGTCCGCGGAGGTGTCGCGGACAAGAGCCAAGCACCCCCAGACACGAAACCGCGACGCAACACCAGGGGACCCTGTCCAAAGACTGGTCGGTGAAACCTCTGGTCGAGAGACACGTGGCCAGAGGTTCAGCTGGTGCGCGTCGTACCTGACCGCGAAGGGCCACAGAAAATGGGGGGCACACGCGTGAGTCAGGGAGGTGCGGGCGATCTCCATGACCAGGCCTATGCGGCGCTTAGCAACCCCATTCTGCTGTGGGGACTCTGGAAGCGTCCAGGACTGACGAATGCCCTGCTCGCGACAGAATCCAGCGAGAATGCCGGAGCGAAACTCACCCCCACGGTCGGAGTGGAGACAGCTGACACGACGACCACGAGTGTCCTCGGTGGTGAGCAACCACCTGATCAGCGTAGAAGTCACCTCAGACTTCTTCGCCAGAGGGAACACTGTGGTGTAGCGGGAGAAGTCGTCAACGACCACTAGAAAGTAACGCTCACGCTCAGGGCCTAGACGAGGGGCAGGGCCCCAGACGTCCAAGTGAAGCGTCTCAAAAGGCTCGGTGGCCGGACGAAGGGGGGAGGAGTGAGGGGTGGCGCGCAGCCTACCCTCGACGCAGGGACGACACGGCGGCGCAAGCGAAGGCGGCAGCGACGGCAAGACACGTGGGAGGCCTAGGACAAGACGCTGACTAGACATAGCGCGCAGACGAGGAAGGGACGGGTGCCCCATCCGGTGGTGCCACAGAACGGTGGGGTGGGCAAGCGACCGGCAGGAGCACGACGCAGCGACTGGAACAGACGTAGGAACCTGACACGACACAGACACCTGGGGGGACGAAGCAACATGGTGAGACGCGGGGACCCGAACGGGGGGGGGGAACCGGGGGCAGTGGCAGTAGGGGCGGCTGCTGGTGCGGCCGCTGGTGCTGCTGCTGCTGCTGCTGCTGCTGCTACTGCGGCTGCGGCTGCTGCTGCTGCTGCGGCTGCTGCTGCGGCGCACGCGGGCCAGTGTGAAGAGTGTAGAGACCCGAGCCCGGCTCAGCAGTAAAGGTAGCAAGAGGCTGGTAAGAGTCTCCGTCAACACACACCGCAGTCTCTCCAGAAGGCTCAAACCACACACCCACGTGCTGACTCACGAGGGGTCGCACGCCCACCAAGTTCCGGGAGAACGAGGGGACGTGAAACCCAGTGAGAGACCCGGAGGGAGCAGCAGGACACGGTAAAGTGGTAGTGTGACGTGCAGTGACTGGTCCCGTAGTGGGATCAGCCAACGCTACAGAAACAGGCGCAGGAAGTGGTGTAAGTGTCATGCTGTCCCGGAAGAAGCAGTGGGAGGCTCCAGAGTCCAGTGTGAACGACAGCGAAGCGTCGTCTGAGGTAGTCGCTGGTCTAGAGTCTACACAAGTGCCTACACTAGCAACAGGCAACTGAGCAAGACTAGCACCTAAGCTAACAACACCAGAGTAAACAGAGTCAGAAACACTAGAGTCAACAACAGCATACATAGCATGAGGAGCACTAATCAGATCAACTAACTGCTCAGCAGACATGCCCCACAGAGCGGAGCCGTAGCGCTGAACCAGAGGAAGCTAGTCAGGGGCAGGACCGCCAACCCCGTAGGTCAACCGGACCGTGTCAGTGAGCTGAGCAAAGCACTGACCAGGGGGGTGAAAGCGGCCACAAGGGTGGCCCCGTCGAGGACCTGTCTGAACCTGGTAGGGGCAGGGAGGGTAAGCCGCACCGCGCTGGGGCTGACGCAGCCCCGACCCCGGAGCCAGCTGCTGACGCTGCTGCTGCTGAGGCTGCTGGGAGGAAAGGGGCTGCTGCTGCTGCTGAAGGTGCTGCTGACGCTGAGCCTGGTACCACGCCGCTGCTCCACCTAGCGGGGCCGGCAGTACAGGAGGCGACTGACGAGCTCGGGGGTCGCCGCCACCAGCAGGTGCAGTGGAGTCACCAGCCGCTGCACGAGGGGTCTCTCCAGACGCTGCACTCCCACCACCGCCAGTCGCAACAGCACCCCCACTACCTCCGCTACCTCCGCCTCCACCTCCACCAGAACCACCTTTCTTGCCCCCCCTGCCGCGGGACCGCGACGCAGTCGTAACAGCAACCGCAGTCGCGTCAGTAGCGGCAGTGGCAAGAGAGGCAGTGAAGGTAGGTAACTGCGGGACTGTGCACCCGTGGAAGAGTGGGGGGGACACAGTACCAGAGGCGGCAGCTACCGAACGAAGGTTGCTCTCGACGTCCTTGAGTGCAGACTCAAGGACCTCGATAGTCAGCTCACAAGGGTGCTTCAGCAGAAGCGCGTCACGAACGGAGGCAAGGCGGTCAGGGAGGCTAGTGGCGATGAAATAGACAGTGATCGCCATGGGGGGAGGAAGCAGTGCAAGCTGTGCCTCAGTGCAAGCAGCGCGGTAACTAGCGTCGAGCGAGCGGAGGTGAGCGATCAAGTCAGCAGAGCGCTCAAACGAGGCAAGATCAGGAAACAGGAACGGGAGGAAAAGACGGCCAAGAGAGACAGTAGCGGGAGTAGAGTAGCGGGCCTTAATCGCAGTGAGGTACGCAGCAGCGGTGCGAACCTGAGTAAAGTGGACCTCCTCAGACTCAGGGAGGAGGCTGCTGAGTGCGATGCAGGCCGCAGCGTCACGCGACGTCCAAGCCGTCCGGTCAGCGCGCTGACGGGCAAAGCGAGCCGTAGCAGCGTCGTCAGGAGCAGGGCCTAAAGCTGTAGGCTCGAGGGGCTCGGGGAGGTCACCAGTAGCGTGTGACCAGAGGGTCTCGCCCCCCTGGACCTGACTCTCTAACAGGCGGCGAGCGCGAAGAAGCCAGACGGAAAAGTCAAGTGGTCTACCGTCAGCGTCGAAACGAAGAACTCGCGGAGTCTCCATAGTGAGAACTAAAGCGAACGAACAGGCGAGTAAGAACCGGGGGGGGAAGAGGACTCAGGTGCAGCGGAAGAGCGGGCTAGGGCGACGGGCCAGGACGTAGGGAGGGCAACGGGCCAGAGCCTAGGGTAGGGCGACGGGCCAGGGCCTAGGGTAGGGCGACTGGCCAGGGCTTAGGGTAGGGCGACGGGCCAGGGCTTAGGGAGGGCGACGGGCCAGGGCCTAGGGTAGTGCGACGGGCCAGGGCCTAGGGTAGGGCGACGGGCCAGGGCCTAGGGTAGGGCGACGGGCCAGGGCGTAGGGCAGGGCGACGCGACGGGGGAAAGGGCGGGAGCGACGCGACGGGGCAGGGCGACGCGACGACACAGGGCGACGCGACGGGGCAGGGCGGCGCGACGGGGCAGGGCGACGGGACGGGGCAGGGCGACGCGACGGGGTAGGGTGACGCGACGGGACAGGGTGACGGGACGGGGGGGGAACAGGCGGGCACGACGCGACGGGGGGAACGGGCGCGACGCGACGGGGGGAAAGGGCGTGACGCGACGGGGGGAAAGGGCGCGACGCGACGGGGGGGAGGGGAAAGGGCGCGAGGCGACGGGGAGAAAGGGCGCTAAGCGACGGGGGAAAGGGCGCTAGGCTCGGTACTAGGCGCGGTAACAACGGAACTGGTACGAACGAGAGGTAGGATCAGGCTCGGGAGGTACGAACGGAGAACGGAGGAACGGGATCCCACAGGATCCTAACCTAGCTGATACCATGTCAGAATGAGGAATGAATGGTTCCATTGATGTTGGTTGGGGTACATATAACAAACCCTAACTTCTGTACCCCCTAAGATAAACCTCACTACAGGCTACAACATTTGACAGTTTTGCTGATCGTTTTAGCATCACTGCCTGAGGCGCGAATGTCAGTTTCGGCCTCGAACTTCATCGCCCTCACGAAAATGCCATGTGACACCAGGGTTCTCGTTATCAGACCAATTTGGTCTGATGGTCTGCGTTTAAGACTGGTTTTTTTGTATTCATCTTAATCCTAAGATTTTGTGTTTGTTCTCATCTGATCAGCAAGATTTGACTTTTAAGTTCGTATGATTTTTTCAGACGTGTAGATTTTTTATCTGAGGATACAGATAGCGAGTTCGGTTTCGTCTGAAACCGACAACTTGACCCACTAGGCCATAGGCCCAGTTGACCAGAGGACAGGACCACCACAGGTACAGCCAATTGCTGCCTTGTAACTGCACGCGCATTCATTACGCGTGTCTTATACAGCTCTGTAACTGCCTTGTGCAGCCTCGCTGGCATGTATCTGCGGCATATGCTGCCAGGCGTTTGTCGTTTGGGTGGCTGTCGGCGGCGACGCCAGCCACAGCCACGACAACGCGCTGTCCCGTTGTGCCAGCGCATTTGCTTTTCGTAGAGGGCGCGCAACACATCACTGTGGTCGTAGTGCCCCCCGCTCCCAACACGCACCGCCTTTCGGTTCTGAGTGCAGTGCACGGTGATGGGGTTTCATGCAGCTGGGTCTGGCTTGAAAACAAGCCTATTTCTCCTGCTCGTCCTCACCTCTCTCCCAGCCGAGCATGGATCGTTTCCCTCCCAGCGTCTGATTTCCCAGCATGACGCTTCCCAGCGTCTAGGCTATGGCCGTCCCCGCCGGCGGACCGTGCGATGGGGAGCCCGTGCTTTCCGCCCTAGACTTCCTAACGCGGGGCAAGCAGATCGCTTCTGCTGCCCCTCCGATTGCGTCGACCTCTGGTGCGGTACCTTTGCCCAACTCGGAAAATGGCGATCAACACGTGCCAGCAACGACTACCCCAACAACGCTGTTATCCCCCCCGCTCCCTGACGAATGTGCAAATAAGAGCATCCCTCCAGTGTCGGTCGCTACAACCTCTCGCAGTGCTAACCCCGTCTTGCCTGACAGATCTATGAAGCGGTATAAACAGCGTGTTCTCACCGTCTGCCGTCCGGGCGGTCCGACTCAGCCAGCACCGTCAGTTCTTCCGCGCCCCGCGGAACCAGAACCTGAACCCGCGAGTGAAGACTTCGAAGACCCGAAGGGCAAGCAACTGTCGGTTGAGGAGCTTCAGTTGAAGTGCAAGCAGCAGTGGCAGCGGTGTTTTCCTTGGCTCCTCATCTCCGAAAACAAGGCAGGCCGCCCGTGCATGCGCTGCAGCGTCTGCATGGTCTTCGGTGACCCGAACTACAAATACGGGCGTAACGGCGATGGCGGCATCGACATCCAGAAGCAGACGATGCGCAAGCATCACCACAGTCTGAAACACGAGGCTGCGGTCTTGAGGAAGGAGGAGCGCGACGGCGTCAAGAAAGTGCAGAAGTCAATTGCTGACTTCCACCGTGGGGACGCTGATGTCAAGCGTATTGCTCGGTTGATGGCTATCGTGCTATTCATTTGCAAGTCTGATGCTCCCATTGTTCTTTTCGTGGCTTTGGTTCAATTCATGGCAGAGCAGGGGACACCGGATTTGCCCCTGAAGGAGAACGGGACGTACTACACCGAGTAAGTGTCCCATTTTACTCATCTTTTTTTTGTTATTTGTTTAGGAGTCTAACGAGTATCAACCCGTGGTGTCTCAGGTACGGCTTCGCACAACTGGTCGAGACCATGGTGTGCTACCTCAAGTCTCGCCAGCTGAAGCACATCCGCGACAGTCCGTACCTTGGCATCCAGCTAGACGAGAGCACCGACCGACGGCGGGGGAAGCACATGATCGTCTATTTGACGTTCATGCGTGACAATGCACCCGTCACGGAGTTCTTCGCCTTGCTCAGTGTGGAGCAGTGTG